AAGTAGTAGTAGTAGTAGTAGTAGTAGTAGCAGTAGCAGTAGCAGTAGCACTAGTAGTAGCAGTAGCAGTAGCAGTAGCAGGTAGCAGTAGCAGTAGCAGTAGCAGTAGCAGTAGCAGTAGCAGCAGTAGGAGCAGTAGTAGTAGTAGTAGTAGTAGTAGTAGCAGCAACGGAAGGAGCCGTGGCGGTAGCGGTACGAGTAGAATGCATAGTCGTCGTCGTCTCTGTCAACTAGCAGGAGTGATACGGATGGTAGAAGCAAAGCCGCTCATGATCGCAATGGCAGGAATACGAGCATCAAGAAATTAGAAACATCAGTCACAATCGTTTCTGCACGGAACGAATCAGTTCCCTGTCGGGGCTCGATTAAAATGAACATCTTTCCAATTGGGTTTCATTAGAACAAAAATGTAAAATTGTATCTAACCAGGACCCAGAGAATAGTAGCACTAGCAATATATTCCAGTGAACCTAATTGAACATAGTACAAGCGATACCAGCAATGCGTTATGACGAGGGCATGGGCTGCGGCAGACTAGGAGGAGTCGCAGCCCCAGTAGTCAACTACTTCAAATACTTATAGAGCCCGAACAAACTTGGCACAGAACGCTGAAGCGAAGCGACAACGCGGAATTGCAATCCGCTTATCCAATGCGAGGAACTGTATAAAGAACATATCCTGGAGCGAATGCACCCAAGGAACAAAGAGCGGCGGCCCCTGCTTGCTCGATTGCCATCGCTAGCTGCAGCGTTGCCTCTGATGCTTGACAACATGCCCAACCGAAGCTGGCTCTGAGATGCCTCACGACTTTGCAGAAGGCGGATCTTTGCCGTGACCGGGATATTCCGGAGTCCCGCTGCAACCGTCTTCACGATTCTGGCCTGGCGGCACTTCGAGACTGGCCAAACTGGCTTCTGAAACTGCAGAACTTAGATCGCGGCCACCAGCTGAGAATCGCGTAGCAAATAAGCCTTTCCGTCATTGCCGATTTCACTCTTTAATATGTCGGCATTTTTCCACAAAGCACGCCAGCATCGCTCCGTATCTGCGGCAGCGAGGTGAGTGAGCTTTGTGACCACCCCTATCAAGGGGATCTTCGTGAAAGCCAGCAAGGCAGATGCTTTGAGACATGTTCGAAGGCCTGCGCGCATCCTCTGTCGGACAGCCGAAGTTGATGTCCACCGCCTGGGTGTTCCGGTTTGGCATTGCGGTGTTAGCACAGCCGGACGGTGCGTTATGCTTTGCACTTTGAATGGATCTGCTGATGCTTTCTCAGCTTCTGGCATCGACATAAGGCTCCAAAATGCGAGCTGCACGCAGCAAAGTGTGCCTTTGAGTCAACCATCCCGAGAGCGCAAGTCTTCCTTCTGTCATGTAGCCGAGTCTAGCCGAAAGCGAATCTCCCCTAATTTTCCCTTTTCTTCCGTGTGTGTGTGGGTGTGTGCGGGCGCATGTGCACGTGCACCACTGTAATCAATGGGTGCAAACTCCAGGGTCCATCAATGCCACGAGAAACATGGGATTGCCGAAACTAGGGAGGGGCCCGAGAAACGGGGCAATGGTCCAGCAAGGCGGTCTCTCTGCCCCTATGCGTGACCGCTTCCGGCGGGATGCACGTTCGACCATGTTGGTGCGTCATTCCTTGTGTCTGACACAGAGCTGGCCCCAACACTCATAACGCATCAGCTTCTCATGATTTCATCATCCATGGAAATCTCCCTGCCCGGCAGGCTCTACGTCCAAACATGGAGCGAGAAGCAGTCAGCTCTTCCTTCTTTCGCACGGGTAAAGGGAATGGTGCAACCACTTCCCTCGTGCTCAAGGCGCCCCGCATATTGTATGGGAAGCAGAAACTCTACAATCTTCCCGACATAGGCAGTCAGCTTTCTTTCTTTCACAGGGCCAAGGGCCGAGCCGTGTGTGGAGGCACGCCTTTTTGTTGGAGGTGCGTGGGCATTGATCGGGTTCACGCTCATTCGTGTAGGATGTTCAGAGCACGCGCAAACTGCTCGGCCACTTTGTTGACGTCACCATTCCGTAACAGGCTCCACCCAGGAACAAACCCTTGAGATTGTCAACTTCTTTTTTCCGTACAGCATTGACATGAAGGACGAGCTTGGCCAGAGTTCCCGTCTGTGAGTGACAAAAGAACTGAAAAACCGCAGCCCCGAGACTGGTATGCGTGTCGACCGTAGGCCGGGCAGTCATCTTTCTTTCACCAAGCTTGACGGCGCATCTTGTCTTGTCTACGAGGCAGAAGAAGCGTCTGAAGCCTCCTTCCCGGAAAGGTTCACCCCTGTTTGGGGGCTTTGTAAGGAGGAGTGAGAGCTCTCTTAAAAAAAAAACGTAGTTGCATCTCTCTGCCTTTCTTTCGCCAGGGCTGTGGTGCAGGGGTTTGACGCCCTACACCACGCGCAGGCGCGCCCCCGACGGTTGCGGGTGCCAGCCTGTTGCACTGCAAGCGAAGGCAATGATTGCCGAAAAAGTCAGCGTGCAATCCCTTCGCAACATCTTCTTCTGCACGGCCAAAGGAGAGCAAGTTCGCCCTCCTTGCGTGCGAGCGCGCCCTGGTTGTGTGTCTGGGTAAGACTTTACTATACGATGCGAAGTACATCTCTCTCTCTCTCTTTGCCTGTCTGCCTGTCTGCCTGTCTCTCAGTACCCGTGGAGTAACCCTTTTTGGCGGACGTTGTTTCGGGGATGCGTGAATCCTGGATCTTTGCATGATGTGGCAGAATTTCTACAATACGCATCACAAAGCCCACAGACATGCTGCCTTCTGCCCTCCTGTGCTCGTTCTGCAGGTAGCGCGATTCAGTTTTGCCATGCAGGAAGATGTGACGAGAGAGCTTCTCTTTTGTCCAGTGACTGACCTGATCCCACGAAGCTAGGTCAATGGAGGGAAGAAAACTGAGCGAGGATGCTTTGTCATGCACTTGTTAACTTGTTTTCGGAATGGTTTCAAGCAAAGCCGGGAACCTCGCCAGTTGCTTGCTTTAGTTTCTGATTCAGCTTTAGTCTGCGCGTGCTAGATTCAGGCTAATTAATATACTACATTGGGATGACAAGTTGACAAGTGTACATTGACAAGGCTCGGACGGATCGTCCCCACCAAGCTGTGCAATGAGCGGCCGGTCCACATCTTTCGCAACCCCTCACAGAAAAATCGCTCGCAGTGCCTTCGACTCCCAATTCCCAATCTCGATCAAGTGCCGTGCCCAGGGCTGCTGCTTCCCACGCGTCAAAGTATGTCCTCCACACTTGAGGGCTGTCCGAAGTGAATGACCATCGCCGTACCGGCTCGCCGCCACCGCAGGCGATGCTTAGTGCCGAGATAGTTCCGCCCTCCCGACAGTTGGTCGAAACATCCGTTTCTTGAAATGCCGCCACGCTCCGACCCTTCGCTGCCTGGACTCAATGACTCGATAGTTTGGGGACGAACCTGCTTGGCATCTATGCAACACCTTCCTTCGCAAGCGGCTACCAGCACCACGAGCAGCAAGGGGGATGAAGAAGGCGTGGTGAGTGTGCATGACTGCTCCGTAAACGACAGACAAGCCTTCAGACAAGCCAGGATTCCCGCCAAAACAACCGGCAGAGCCAGATTCTGCCACTGCGCATGCCTTCTTCGTGCACGCTTGTTCCTAGCACGTTTCTCTGTCTGGATTTCGCTTGGAAGCCTCTTGCAGGTAAACACCCTACACTGGACACCGGCACTCGCAGCCCAGGTTGTCGGAGAGGGATGAAGAGGGATGATTCTCGGGCGAAGCTGGAGCAGCTGAGTCGTGTAGGCGCTCGAAGGCAGCCACAAGCAAGGTTGCCGTGGCAAGCTTACAGCATGGATGCCTTCGGTACCCGTCGTCTGTAGCGAATGGCTCAGCATGCAGCATTGGCGTGTATGCCAGCTGGACCTGAGCACATGTCTCACAGTATCTTCGGCAATGTGGCAAAGTGCAAGCAGACCGCCGGGGCGAACGCCCCGTACCTTCTGCAAAGGATTCGGAAGGCTCTTTCAGACCTTTGACAATTCGCGCGCCAAGACCCCACTCTCAAACTTCAGACCGCAGTTCATCGATTCGCAGCAATGGCATCGTGCTTGGAGTGCCCGACTGATTGTGGCAGGCCGGGCTTAATAAGAGTTCCCACATATCAATGTGTGAGGACACAGCAGTATTTCCTCACAGAGAACTCGCGAAGTGTTTTCTTGGCCGCAGATCGGGAGGCTGGCTGGTCGACCATCGGTGAACAAACCCATCTGGGGCTCCCAATGGACTTCCACCTCGAGAAACACCGGGGGCATTTCCGCTGGGAGAAGGCTGTCTGCGAGTGCCGAGCCAGCTCCAGGCCCAGGCCTCTCTGGAGCTCATAAACACAAGGAGAGACAGAGCGACAGAGCAGCTAAGGCCCCTGCAGAGGCTTTCGGTTGCGCAGTCCTCACGCTCGCCAACTGGCTGGAACTGAGCACTGTGCAGGCCTGAGAGCCAACGATTCCAAAAAAGAAAACAAATCGGAACACGGGTCACACTACTTTTGAGTTGGCAGCTGCAAGCAGGAACCTTTTGCGATGCATTGGCCATGGAACTACAAAAGCAAGGGTGCTCAGTGATGTTCGATGGTCTGCTGTATGCAATCTATACAGTGGGGCTCACAACAATGTCATGACACAGGCTGCATGATTCAACTGCAGGATGCCAGACTCAAAGCCAAAGCCTTGCCGAGAAAAGTTTCAGCAGATGGATATGAAGTTCGCCACATTCACTACGTCGTTTAGCTTGGAAGTTTGAGCTTTCAGTACATTCGCGACAGCCGTGGCAACTGGTGGCAAATGCTGGCTGGCCATGAAGTTGGCGTGTACCAACAGCTTACCAATTGCACCGATGATCACAAGGTTCGAGCGATGTCGAGAGCTAGGTTCAATCGGGTTCATGGCAATGTTCGAGCTGGGATAACTCGTCGGGCGGGCTCCGAACAGAGCTCTCGATGTGGTCCTGGCATGAAGGTGTCATGAAGTTATGCTGCCACCTTTCTGGCTGCTGCTTGTGCAGGAACCCTCCAGCTGTCACAACGTCAGCGTTGCAGTTTACAACCACGAATTCAAGCAGAAGCCTGTCGGCTGGGAGCCATGAGGACAGACTGCTGCTACCTACTTGCGACGGACTGTACAGAAGTAAACCACATCGAAAGCACTTGCAGTCATTCGTGTTCTATGCAGCTATCTAGCAAGTCCTCGTGATGTGGCCGAGCACACCGAGCACATGCCTACATGTTCATGCCACAGGGGCTTAGAACGATAACCTACGGATCCGTCGGACAATGCCGAACATCTCCTGGGTCTGCCTAAGCCATTAAGCTGTGAGACTCAAGGCGGCAAGTATCCGCCCGCAATATTCTTCCCACCTGCACGGAGGAGAGGACTGTCACCAAGGTGAGGCTGAGGCCCTCCTGAATGCAACAGATTCTTGGAGGTTTTCAACTCAAGCGACGGTGGCCTGCAGGTGGCATTCCTGGCCTGGCAGGCCAAGAACAACGCAGACTTAAGGATCAGAAATGACGAATGCACATCAGGATGCAAGATGATAATGGTCTTCTCGGGCCACTTACTGCGTATCACATGGTGCCCTAATCTTGTTTTTTTCTGGAGCTCGCCGCTAGACATGCAGAGACAACTCTGCGAAATTTGGTACACTACATCGGCCTCTCAGGGCCTCGTTCAGAGCCTCTAGACTCTAGAGAGGTGGACATCGACTTGCCATCTGCCTTTCTCATGACGGGTGTGTGAGTGTGCGTCTTGCGGAAGCAACCGGGTAATTATGGTAATTGATTTCGTTGTTAGGGCAAGAACTATATATCAGAGCTCAGCTAGCGTTACTGGCAGAATCTGGTAGAATCGTGAAGCGAGTGCAGAACATGCTGCATGTACATGACAAATCTTTCGCAAGCAGGCCGATGGCACACTGATCTTCTCGGTGTTGGCTCACGCCTCCGAGGACTCGGTGCCTTTGCAACATGCTGAAACTGGCAAAAAGTCTCCCCAAAAAATAACAAAGTGCGTAGCAACAAAATGCAGCTCTCAGCTGAGCATCCTACCCGGATTGCTGGCTCACCGAAGCCACGCCATGATGGAGAAGGTGCACGATCTTGGTGGTCTCTGTTGCTGTTTTACCAGACTGTCGGAAAATTCAATTTTGGCGGTCTCTTGAAAACACGAAATTGTCGAATGTCGCGGGTGAGAACACCATGTGGATTGGTGCAGGTTTACCACCGTGTCACAAGGAATGTTTCAACTTGGCGGTAGATTGAAATATCTTGAAAACACATTGCTGAGTTCTCTAATTTGACCACCGTGTCAGCTTTGCGTGACAATAAGTCCCTCGCGCGGCGACATGGCCTCAGCTGGACGGCCAAACCACTCTGTACATCTTTTGGAGGGGCCTCTCAGGTCCCCGCACGACCGGGAGAAGGCACACACCTCGTGCAGACAGCAGCGGAGACTCCAAGTGTCGACACTGTGCTTAAAGTCAGCATAATGTGAAGACAGCCTAGGAGATGCTGCTCGTAGTGGTGCTGCAAAGTCGGCCTCTCGACAAAGAGATTCTCGCTTTTCGATTCAAGACTCTGATTGCGTGGACTCAGCACCATGCGGATGGACTACGCCGGATTTGTGAGCCTTCTGGCGCACCTTCCGGTGCTCGAGCTATGCCGGCATGCCTCGTCTGCCAACGCCTGCTGGAAACGTGCCTGGAGCTCCGGGCACCGTCCTTCGACGCACTTTTGAAGCTTGGTCCTGATGGGCATGTTCAAGCTGAGACATTGTGCGAACTACCTTACGTGCCTCCTTTGTGAGCCATGTATTCGGTTTCAAGTCGATCACAATACGGCCTGAATGCTCCATACAGCTCAAATCGTTCACTCCATACAAACCTTGCATTCATCCCACAACGTGCTCTTGCGGGGTGACCATCGGGGCTCACACCGTCGAAATCTGCGTTGACCACTGTTGCCGGGAGCCTTATGAAGAATTCTGCAGTTTCTTTGGTTGTGTTGCGGGTCTGGGGCCCCACTTTTCAACCAGATTCCCCACTTTACAACCACAGACAGTGTTTTCGAGGTGAGAATCCCAACCTTACAACTGTCGATGTGTAGAACGCCCACTTTGACACCCGACTGCATGTCTGTCTGCATGTCTGCGCGTCTGTCTGCATGTCTTACAATGATTAAGGTATATTGGGATTTCAGAATATTTCATAAACGGGCTTGGTCCTTCCAAAGCTCCAAAACGGCCCGACACGAGCCCATTTTGAGGGGTGGTGTCTTACAACAAACCTACCTAGCTCCAGTTTGCTAGTGCCTCGATGCCCTTTAAAGAGTGCTTTATGGGGTCTCCAGACCGGTTCCCAGATACGAAGTACTTCTCTGTCTACGAACATACATAAAAGTTCAAACCAAGATAATGATACCTGTGTATATATATATATATACATGTATACACACACACACACATATATATATATATATACACCATATATATATATATATATATATATATTATATGTATGTATATGTACATACATACATATGTCTCGGATTCGGCTTCAGAACGCCCATATTGCAACCAGCAAGACTTTTCCAACCTGCATGGTCGCTGTACAGGATGATGGAGTAGTTATGGTTTCCATGCTTTGACGTTGTCAGTTAATACGCTTGCTCAGAAGCGTTCGCAACCGGTTGCAAAGTAGTGATTCTGGAAGCTTAAACAAAACCTGCACATGTGAATGATAATTCCCACACATGTTCCTGATAATGCACGCGCTTCTCTTTGATACATGGAGCGCTTGTCTCTGATAAAACTGGCTTTTCTTCCCGAACCATGGCGCAACGAAAACTCAAGAATTTTATGAACAAGACAGCTCCCCAGATCTTGACATATCTTACCTTGCCTCCAGAACCCAAGCCTCTCAGAACACAAACCTCCTTCCAATCTTCGTATTGTGGTTCGTGTTCCGGGAACAGAAGCAAGTGGTTCGTTCTTATTTTGCACGCTCACAAAGGCATGACGTCAAGCGCGAGGATGATGTTGTCCAAACTCCAAGTTATGCCAAGCAGACGCAGGTGCGGATCCATACTTTTCCCCCTTCGACCTGAGACGCGGAAACGATCCACTTCGTTCTCACAGGCTGAGGAGTTTAACCTTTCTTGCTTGTCATCCCAGGCATTACACGACAGGATCTCGCAGCCAGTCCTTGTGCGTTCGTAGTGCTGCTGGCAAGGGAAGTCCGGCCGTTCAGTTGCTATCCAAGTCTGCAAATGCAATTTAAAGGATCACCTTCGGTCTGCCCCGAAGACTCACCCCGGTCAGAAAAGGGGTGCTCCTTCCGGAGAGTCCAGCAGGTGAAACGATGGATTGTGATGTTTGTATGTGGTATGTGTTTGTTGGGGCATGGAGGTGGCTAATGCTTTGAGGTGCTCTCGTGGTGGACCCTTCGAGCACCCGTATGTTTCTCCATCTGGTGGGAGGTTCCTGAAAGGTTCGACGGGGCAAGGGCCGAAATGGCGAAGCTGCGCACCAGTACGAGAATCGTTCCAATCAAGCCGCAATCGTTTGCCCATGTGCATCTTACCCCGAACCATGCCTATATGAGTTTGATCGTCTACTGCTCTGTCGTGTAATTAGGTCTCTGCTCGGATGATACTAATCAGGTACTACTCATAGCAGAAGGCAGTGAATTTCTTCGTACCTGTACATCATTGGTTTTCCGCAATATTGAACTCTTGGGCTTGTGTGAGCTCTGCCCCGGCAGAGTTTTGCCTTCCTTGACTCGCCACAGAGCTAGCACGTCAGCCATCTCATCCGGTTGTTTTTGCAAACTGTTCTCAGGCGTCGATGAGGTTCTCGGAGTTCCGGGACACATGTATGTTCCAAATGTATATGTGCATGTGCCAAACATGCTTTGCCGTTTTGGTGTGCACCGTTATACTGAGCCTGTCTCACACCTCCGCTTCACTTCCTACCTAGTTTCTGGTCACGTTTGCTCTATGAATTTCGCCGGTGCTCTATGAATTTCGCCGGACGCATGCAGAATGCTCTCTGCTTTCCTCCTTGCCTTGATACACAAGAAATACAATACTCACTGATGTGTTTGCCAATCTACAAGAGTTGGCTGGGGCCCTGTGCCACTCTCCATGCGAGATTGACCAATAGTCTACGAGGTCACCCTTCCGGAAAGCCTCGAGCAGGCACCGGCTCGCATCGACACAGGCCACCACTGCCTGTACTCAGCCCCGTGCATCGCCATGACGAGGACTCGGCCTGAAAACGTTTCCATGTTCCCGTAAGTCGACGCAATCGCTCCCAGGTCTCCCAAGCTTGCGGCGCTCGGTGTGAGGGCGAAGCCTCGGACGGTTCGGAGTGCTTGCATGAGCGCTCGGACCTGTCTTCGTCGAGGCAGCGGCAGCTCGCGACCCAGGGCGACTGCCAAGTCCGGATCCTGGGCGGCTCCCAATTCCTGCGATTGCACCGGCAGCCTCAGAGGTCGGAGACGAGTCGGAGGAAGCCTTTCGTTGTTGAGGCTTCTTCCGAGCTCAGCAGCACTGAATTGCACTGAGCGCAAGGCCAAAGCCGGGCTCCTTTAGCCAAAAACACTTTGTAGGTCACGGCGCAATGCAGTCCGACCCACTTCATGGCTCGAATACAACACGAAGTGCCGATTGTGGGAGAAGCAATGCGCATCGCGCTGGGGGAGGTCGGTTTCAGGAATCCCAAGCCTGCCGCACAGAGTTGTTGCCGACTATCGCCCTTGTCTTCCCGAGCGGGCTGTCGAACAAAAGGTCCCCGCGGCCGAACCCCCTTCCCCGATACGTTGCTGTGAGGTTCTTGTTTTTCTCAGGGATAGAACAGACTCTAGTTTAAGGCGTCTTAGACTTTAGGATTCACGGCTTGGCTAGGGCTTGCGGTTTGGGCTTGCTCAGGGTTTGGAGTCGCGTAGGGGTTTAAGGCTTGGGATTGTTTAAGATGTAGGGCTTGGGTTGCTTAGGGTTTGGGGTTGTTTAGGGTTTAGGACTCGCAGTATAGTTTAAAGGCTTGGGTTCTTCTTGCCTTGAGGCGGTTTTGCCGTTACGGATACTACGAGTCGTTGTCGTAGTAGCCAATAGTTGTGTAGTTTGATGTAGTTTGTAGACTGACTTACTTACTTACTTACGTACGTACTTACTTACGTACTTACTTACTTACTGACTTATTCGTTCGTACGTTAGCTAGTTGGTCAGTAAGGTGGTTGCTGAATTAGTTTGCTAGCTAGCTACTGAATTGAGGGTGTGTGCGAAGCCGTTTTGTGGCAGGGCAGGAAATCTGCTACTACTTGCAGCAGCATGCCCAGCAAAGCGAGAAGAGTTAGACAAGAAAGACGAACACCAGAACACGACTGTACGAGCAGGACTGCCATTGTAAACAGCACCACCACAACGCGCACCATCTGCACGAGAACCACCGAGCACTGCCCTCTGCGGTAGCCTTCTGACTTCCTGTACCATGTACAGGAACACCACCTGCTGCACACCAAGTCGACTGCTACTGCTACTGCTACT